GCACCTGTAATCCCAGCTACTTGGGAAGCTGAGGCAAGAGAATCGCTTAAGCCCAAGAGTTTGAGGTTGCTGTGAGCTGTGACGCCATAACACTCTACCCAAGTGACCCTCTATCTCAAAAAAAAAAAAAAAAAAAAGAGTGGAGGCTGAGAGCTCAAGAGAGTTGGACTAAAGTGGAGGGGAGGAGAGAGTGGGTAGCAGGAGAACTGAGAAGCCTGAGTGGACAGTCCCTTCCATAAGATGGAGGGAGCCATCCCGGAAGAAGAGCAGGGCTAAGGGCTATAACCTAGGGATAGAGTTACAGTAAGGCTTTCCTGAAGTGACAATCCTGGAGGAGGAGCAGTTTTGGGAGGGGAAAAGGGAAGCACTGCTTCTTCCTAATCATGTCCCTCCTTGGAATCTACTGTCCCCTTATGTTGTTTCCAGGGACACTTTCCCCAGGTCTAGAAGAGCAACTTCTCTTTTCCTAACTCAACCCATCCATTTCCGCCCTTATGTCCCCTGAGAAATCCTGTCCAGTCCTACATTGCAAACAGCGAGATGACGAGATGACGTGGTTGATAAACTTAAACCGGCAAAAACTGGTCTGAGGAGCCTTCAACCCCCCTTAGGAAACTTGTTGTGGGGGGTGGGGCATGACTGGTGCCAGCTTTCTGAGGACATGAGCTGTGCTTTATTTCAGCTCCCTCAATTTCTTTCCGTAGCATTATTGAGCATTTAACAAACTTTCACTGGACGTCTACTCACTGCCCAGCCTAGTGCTAGGTAATGCTGCAGACCAAGTGGTGGGTAAGAGATGTAACCTTGGCACTCCTCCTCTGCGAGCCCACAGTCCAGACTGTGACAGCCTAGGACTGGGGTAGGAGAGGCACAGGAGACCGTGGGTCCTAACCCAAACCTGGACTGACATGGTTATACTCTTCAGAGAGGAGAACACCTTTGAAATGAGATCTAAACAGAGGTAGTCTGGTAATGGAGGGTATATTTTTCAGGATGAAGAAATAAGCTTAAAGATCCAGAAGGCTTTCATTCTCTTTCTTTTTCCAGCTCAGGTAGCAAAGCTGAGATCATTCTAATGAGTATTTCCTATGTGGCTGGTATTGTTGTAGGTACTAGGCAAGATAGGGAAGAAAAAAGACAAAAATCCCTCTCTTTTTATGGTGGTGACGGGCACATGAAGCCATTTTAGAAAAATGGAAAAATTGATGTAGCACGATTGTACAGAACGAGGGGAGTGCCCAGGTCAGATCGCGAAGGACTTTGTTGCAAAATAAAGGAGTGTGGCGGCAGAGAGCCAAGAACTAGTTTCCAGGAGTCATCTGAGAGAAGCAGAGAGGGTGTCTGGGGTACCCAGGAGGGACCACAAAAGGACTTACAGAAGAGACCTGAGGATTAAAAAAGGTCTGCGAGGGCTCGGCGCCTATAGCTCAACCGGCTAGGGCGCCAGCCACGTACACCTAAGGTAGCGGGTTCGAATCCCCAGCCCGGACCCGCCAAACAA